GCTACTCCTTGAGCCACGGGTGCTGCCTCCTGCTAGGTTTTTTAATGATGCAATTTCCCCCTCCTAATATTGATTATCTGAGTAGCTTGAATTTCATCTTTGGATATTTTTTCAAGAAAAATAAATGGTTGGTAAGTCTTAGGAGCTTCTAAGTGTTTGGGAATGATTTTCATGTTGCCTTCATACATGAAAGACAATTTGGAAGTATCTAAAGTCTGGAAGAACTATAATCCCTTCCCATCCCAATCCTACAGACTGCGTCCATTGAATTTTAGAATTTAGAGCCATGGAGGAGAAGTCTGCTTTCCATTCTAGTACCTCCAGCCTGTCCTACTCGGCTGCACTCTGGCAGGGTGTCTCTATGCCTTTACAATTCACATATCTCTGGGGAAATCTCTAGGTGAGGCATCTTTTCATGTGTTCTACCTAGGATATTGTGGAGCTCTTTTAGACAGCATTCCAGGTTTTGAAATGTTTTCTTCAGCTAAGCCTTTGATGAATCATATGTGTTCCAATTATTCACATTTCCCAGAAACACCTGTGAGTCTCTGTTTGCTCTGTTCTCTTCCCCTCTTGATAATCCTGTTCTCTTTCATCACTTCTCACTCTGTCTTTCCTCTGCCGGGGAGAGTTTCTTACATTTATACTTAGTGCCCCCCCAGGGTTGATTTTAATTTGAAAATTTTACTTTAGTTTTCTCTTAATTCTTAGTTATTTCTCCTATCATTCATTCTTCTACTTCAAAAAAAAATTCCAACGTTTATTCCTTACTTATTGCTTCTTGCTTTGTTTAACAAAAACTACATATTCTCGTATCTTACTGGGTTTGCAAAATGGCTTTTTGTTGTGGGAGAGGCAGGGAGTGGGGGGGTCTCCTTGTTTCCTGGCTGATCTCGAACTCCTGGGCTCAAGGCATCCTCCCACCTCAGTCTCCCAAGTAGCTGGGATGGCAGGTGGGACCACTGCACCCAACTTGCACGATGGCTTTTAAATACTTTCTTTCAGATACTATAGTAAATAGTGTCCATAAATTTGCTATTTCTCTGAGTATTCAGAATGTTATTCCTTTCTCTTTGATGGGGTTCAGGACGTGCTACCCCACAATATAGCACCTTGGCACACTGACTGTTTTACGCAGAAAGAATTTCAGCCAGCAGCAGAGGCAGAAAGGTCACTGTGACCTCCTCTACCCATTTCTCCCTTGCAGCAGGGCATAAAACCTAGGAAGGATTTCCTGAAGCAGGTTGTAAGCCTCTCGTGTGGGAGGTGCTCTCCCTAAATCAGGACAAAAGGAGCATCCTTATCTGCGGAGCGGCAGGACACAGAGAAGAGCCTGAACAGACAGGCCTTGCTGCCTTCCTCCTCCATCGTATCACATCATGCTCTTTGCCCGGTTGTCTTTCTCCACGGCTGTCCATTCTTCATCAAACCTACAATAAAAAGCATTCAGCTTTAACTGTATCTTTGGGTCTGTATTTCCTTATGAAGACTCCTGTGTTCATGTAAAACTTACATTACATAAATGTGTACGCTTTTCTCTTGTTAACCTGTCATTTGTTACAGGGGCCTCAGCCGTGAGCCTAGGATGGGGAGAAGGAAAGGCAGGTCGTTCTTTAGAGTTTGCCCCCCAGTTTCTTTCTTTCTATCTGCTCATGCTTGATCAAGAGAAATCTGTCCATCCTTATTGCTTGAAAGCTATAAGGGTAAATGGCCTCATAGCCAAATGCTCAGAAATATGCATGTCTCCTAATCCAAGGGTCTGGCAGATTTCCCCTTTATGCAACTCTTTTATACTGGGGTCAGATCTTTTCTGGTTTCCACTGCCCAGCCCTTTTACATGCTGAGTACAGGAAACAGAAAACTTATCCCAGCCTGCATTGCTGAGGGCTCTTCCCAGCTCGCTCTTACGACTCTCCTTTCCCAACACGCATGCTCCCCACTCCTATTTTATATAATTTTTTTTTTGACATTATGGGATCTGATTTCATATAGAATGAATGAAGTTGAGAGAGGTGACAGGCAAGGGCTGGCACCCTTCAGACAGCACTGGCCACACAATAGAGGGAGGAAGACCATATTCCATTTGCTCTAGGGAGGTGAAAAGTTGGGAGGAGGTGATTTTTTAATTTCATTTGGGGCTTGCATAGCAAAGGGAGGCCATAGAATGTCTGTAGTCCATGGGACTTTGCCTTGGTGATGGCAGGATGTTGATTGTTAGTTCCACTTTTTTGGTGGCAAATTCAAAGGTATTGTGGTGGGAAGAAATTTTGTCAAGAGCCATCAGCCATAATGTACCATAAACTTCTTTATTAAGTATTTTTTATGTAGGGAACATTGAGTGTGTCCTTAATGGTAGTCCTAGCCAAAATTGTAATGGCATTAAAAATATTTTTTTGTATTGAACTTCTGTAATAACTGAGGGTACCATATTAGACATGGAGCTGGCGAATTTTTCCTGTAAAGGGCCAGGTAGTGAATATTTTTAGCTTTCTATGCCGTGCAGTTGGTATAACTATTCAACTCTACCACTGTAACAGAAAACAGCCATAGAAAATATGTAAATGAACGGTCATGGCTGTGTTCCAAGTCAGCTTTTATTTTCTAAAACAGGTGGTGGGCTGGATCTGGCCCCTTGCTATCCTTTGTTGGCCCTGTATTAAATTGTATGGTTGGAAGGGCATATTTATGAGGGCTGGGATGATAGGAGTCAGGTGTACGATGGCAACACAAGTGTGCTGTTAAAAAGCCTTTCCTTTCTCCGATTCACTTGCCGCCTCGTCTTCCTGTAAGCCTTCTGGCCTGCTGATAAAGGCAGCTCAGACGGATCCCAGCTCGCAATCGTGTAGTTCTCTTTTCTTCAGCTCACAATCATGTAGTTCTCTTTTTTCCTAGAAATATGCTCTTTAAATGCCTTTTCTTTCTGCTCCTGTTGGTCTTTACTTGCAAAGAAAGATTGTGCTTCAGTGAGTAAAGTATATAGTTAGGTATTGGCAAGAAGATTTGGAAAGTGGTACCCACCACTAGGCAGTAACCCTGCGGTGCCTGCGTGCCCTCCAGCTGCCTCTGCTGCTGTCCGTGGTCTGCTCCATGTTGGCCAAGACAGATGGAAACGAGCTCTACCACAAGTCTTGATGTGGTTGTGGCATTTCTTCCCTGTTTACCTAACATTGGATACGCTTAGTCCGTTTGCTTAGCAGAATGAAGTTACGGAGCAGTGTGACACCAGGATACCTTTATTTTACTTTCTCCACTGAAATGTCATTAAGCTGAGGTGAAGAAATGCTCAGTGATTTCAACACAAGTCTAATCTTCACATGTTCTGTTAAACATCAATGTTCATAATACTTTGCATATAGAATAATAGGGAAATAAAATAGCCCACAACAGAGAAAACAGTAGTCAGTCTAATTCCAGTGATTCAGGCATTTGAAAGAAGTACCTGTTAGGTAATAATGCATGCATCCAACTGCTCTTATATAACTGATATGGGTTAAGGGGTTACTGAGGTATTGTTGCAGGAAGACGAGGCCCAAAACGAGAAAAAGAGCCCCCAAACACCACGTTTGTAAGAGGAAGGGCTTTATTCATCAGCCAGGAGCTTACGGCATAGAAGAATTCCAAATGGCTGTACTCCCCCACTGGCTTGGTCTTTCTCTTTTTATTGACAGTCAGAAAGTTCCACCCCACTGGTACTCATCTCATTGGCCAGTTTGAATCAAGCGGGAGATGCTATTCCAGTCCCTACAGAACTATAGGATTTCACAGAACGGGAAGTTAAGTTTACAAATTCCCAAGAGCTGAGTCGCTGTGGCGAGGCCCCTGCAGGTGTATCCTTGTGGTCTCCTTGAGAAGACCTGTTCTCCTAGGCCTCACCCTTCTCGGGTCTCCTCTGTCATTATGACCAGGGCTTTTGATGAAAAATTAAGGTTATATGACCCCTTCCTCCCAAAGGCACTGGCTTTCTTGGTCTCGTAGCAGGAGTATCAGAGTAGCTATGGCAATAAAATCTCATTTTCGGCTTCTCATACGAGAAGGTGATGATAACTTCTCAGAAGATGTCTTCTGTGTAAGATCTATAACTTCTTAGTCACCAAAATTTGGAGTGTTTTCACCCTCTTTCCTAATTTCTCTACCTTCCTGATGTTGAAGAAGAGGCTGACTCAGAGTGAGAGGCTGACTCTCTGGCATTAGGGAGAATGTGGCCTTGGAAACTCTTCCTGGGGCAGCAGAGACGAAGGGTCTGACATTCTGGGGGAGGAGTTGGTAGAGCTGAGAATGTAGGGTAAGGCAGCTGGGGAAGGCTCTTTTGGCATGTAATCTCTGTCACCCACATTTCTTGGCACTGGTTCATTTCCAGATATCTGGAGATTTGACTGATTGTTTTTTTCATGTTAAGAAATTTCTCACTGCACATATATAAATGTGTGCACTTCTATAAAGATGCAAAAGAAGAGTGAAGTAGCTTACCATGGAAAGGATGCCTTCACTTTTAAGTTTAGAGGTGACTCAGCAGAAGCATGACTGTATGGCAGGGGCTCCCAAGTCCCAATACCAAACATTTACCTTTACTAGGTCAGCTGTGTGACCTTGGGCAAATTGTGCAACCTCTCTGTTATTATTTGTTTACTATTACTTTATTTGTTAAGTAAAGATAAGAGCATCTGCTTCACAGGGTCATTTAAAGCACTTAGAACAGTGCCTGGTAAACACCAAGTACTATTATTATTGTTATTTGTGCTTTTATTTGCTTTAAGAAGGGGGCAAGACTTGAGGCCTGTGCAGACTTGTTGAAGGTCACTCTGCCCTTGAAAGGGCTCATTCTTACCAGAGCCCCAGGAGCCTAATAAATGCTAAACGAGAGGAAATGGCTATTATAGATGCTTAAGGCACATGATTTAGCGGGCTGCAATGCAGTTTTCTGCTGTTGTGGACGTTCTAAATGGCTCTCTTTTGATGGATTGCTCCTTTTTTGGGTATCAAGGATGAAACTGTGGTCCGGGTACCTGGAGAATGTTGCCCACAGTGCTCGGCTCGCTCCTGCTCTGCTGCTGGCCAAGCGTACAAGGTAACCTTTGATAACCCAACGTAGGTGTTTGACTTATGTTCTCACACATCTGCCCTCCACCCCTCCAACCACCGAGCCTCCCCACCCTCATGTCTGACTCTTTGCCAGGATTAGTAACTTAGCACATAAACGGCTTTTTTCTTCTCTTTGCAGAAAGCCTTTATGAAAAAATTAAGTTGAAGGGGATTAGAAATATAAAGGAATGTGCTGGCAAGCAGTACCTGGTTCATGAACCTTGGTGAACTTACTGTTCACACATCTTAAAGGGAAAAGAAGGCCGTCATTGGTCGCCACTGATTCACACTTAGCTCTAAGGCTCTGGGAATGTCTGCCTGTCTGATTGGGTTTGATGCACTGATATCAGAGACAACCCCCCACCTCGGCCTCACACAGTGGGGAGACATGGCAGTGGGAGGGGAGGGAGGACGGGAGGTGGGAAGCTGTTGGCGCTGGAGTCTGTGAAGTCCCAGGCACTGCTGGGGCAGTCTGGTAACTGTGCCTAGCATGGTCTGTGAAGTCCCAGGCACTGTTGGGGCAGTCTGGTAACTGTGCCTAGCATGGTCTGTGAAGTC